CATTGACACAAAGATATTTGAAAAACTTGCAAATATTTAGAAACTAAACAACTCATTTCAAAATACCTATGAGTCAAAGAAGAAATCAAAGACAAATTAGAAAATATTCTGAACTGAAGAAAAATGAAAACACATTTATGGTATGCCAATAAAATATTACTGAGGAGGGGAGCCTGGGTGGGTCAGTTGGTTAAGTGACCAACTTCAGCTCAGGTCATGATCTCACAGTTTGTGAGTCTGAGCCCCACATCAGGCTCTGTGCTGACAGCTCAGAGCCTGGAGCCTTCGGATTCTGTGTCTCCCTCTCTCTCTGCCCCTCTCCCACTCATCTCTGTGTCTCTCTTTCAAAAATAAAAAAACATAAAATTAAAAAAAAACATTACTGAGGAAAAATTTAGGTCATTAAACACCTCTAGTTGAAAACATAAAAAGTCTATCAATAACCTGAGCATCCACCTTAAGAAACTAGAAAAATAAGACTAAATGAAATACAAAATAGAATAAAGAATATAATAAAGATGAGAGAAGAAAGGAATATAATAGAAAACAGGAACGTCCATAAAACCAAAAACTGGTTCTTTGAGAACATCTATATAATTAATAAGCCACTAAGCAGATTGATCAGGAAAAAAAGAAAGAATAAACAAATCACCATTATCAGGACCAATACAGGTGATAAAACTCCATGTTCTAATAATATTTAAAAAAAAATAATATGGGAGCATTATGAACTACTTTATGGCAAAAAGCAACAACTTAGATGAAATGCATGAAAAAACACAAATTACCGAAGCTAACTCAAGACAAAATAGATTATCTGAAGAACCCTATATCTATTCAAGAAATTAAATTTGCAGTTAATCTTTAAACTAAGACAAGTCCAAGTCCAGATGGCTTCACTGGTGAATTCTACAAAACATTTAATGAAGAAATCAGACACAAACTCTTCCAGAAAATTAAAGAAGAAGGAATATTTCCCAACTTTTTCTATAAGGCCAGCATTACACTAATACTAAAAACACATCACAAGACATCACAAGAAAACTACAGACCATTATCTTTCATGGACATAGATGCAAAAATTTGAATCAAAATTTCGTAAACTGAATCTAACAATATTTTTAAAAAGTATAATGTATTAGTCACCTAGTGAGTTTATCCCAGGAATGCAAGGTGGTTAACATTTTAAAAATCAGCGTAATTTATCATATTAACAAACAAGAAAGGAAAATTCATGTGCTCAATAGATGAAGAAAAAGCATTTGACAAAATCTATCATTGATTTCTAATAAAAACTCTCAACAAAGAAAGAATAAAAAGAACTTCCTTGGGGCACCTGGGTGACTCAGTGGGTTAAGAGGCCGACTCTGGCTCAGGTCATGATCTCACAGTTCACAGATGTGAGCCCCGCGTCAGGCTCTGTGCTGACAGCTGGGGGTCTGGAGCCTGCTTCAGATTCTGTGTCTCCCTCTCTCTCTCTCTGCCCCTCCCTTGCTCATGCTCTATCTCTCTCTCAAAAATGAATAAACTTTAAAAAAAAATTTTTTTTAAATAACTTCCTCAATCTGATAAAGAGCATCTACAAAAAAACTTACACCTAACATCATGATTAATGGTAAAACACTGAATTATTTTTCCCCAAGATAAGGCAAAAGCAATCAGTATTTTAATCAGTGTTATTAAATAAGAAATTTAAAATATCAGATAGGTAAGGAAGAACAGTCTTCATTTTCATGACATGATCATATGTGTAAAAAAAACCTGATGGGATATAACAAAAAGCTACTGTAACAAGCCACTTTGCTAATGTTGCAGAATATGCAAAATTCAATTATTTTCATATTCTTACAAAGAATTATCACATGCAATTTTTAAAAAACAGTGCCTCTTAAAAGAGCACCAAAAATGTGAACTATTTAGTATAATCTGATAAAAATATCCAAGACCTGTACACAGAAAACTACCAGATATTGCTGAGAGAAATTAAAGACCTAAATAGAGAGGGATCATAAATTCAATATTGTTAACAGGCTAATTCTCTGAAAATAGATCGATAGCTTAGAACACCCCAAGTCAAATCCCTGGATGCATTTTTTAATTGGCAAATTGATTCTAAAATGCATATGGGAGTAGCCAAGGCAACACACTTGAGAATGAAGGACAAAGTTAGAAGAATCACACTTTCTGAGTTCAAGACCAACTGTAAAGCTACAGTACTAAGGGTAGTGTGGCACTGGCATAACAAGAAACATATAGTTCCCCGGAATAGAGTAGAGAATCCAGAAGATAGACCTAATCATGCATGGACAACTGATGTTCCACAGAATTGCAAAGACAATTCAGTGGAGAAAGGAAAGTCTTTTGAAAAAATCATGCTAGAACGATGACATATCCATAGGCAAAAGGAAAAAATGATCTTGTACCACATACAACAACTCAAAGTGGAATACAGACCTAATGTAAAACGTAAAATCACAGAAATTCCAGTAGAAAACCTCTGTGATACTGAGTTAGGCAAATATTTCTTTAAAACGAGCAAACACACAATCTACCAATGAACAATGCAATAATTTCAGTTTCACCAAAATTAAAACTTCTGCCATTCAAAAAACACTGCCAAGAAAGTGAAAAGACAAATCATAGCTTGGGAAAAAATATTTGCAAATGATACATCTGACAAAGAACAATTCTCAAAATTCAGTAAGAAAACAACACATTAAGAAATGGGCAAAATGTTTGAACAGACATTTTGCCAAAGAAAATATTTGGATTTTAAATGAACCCATGAAAAAATACTCATCATCATTTTTCATTAGGGAACTGCAATTTAAACCCGAGCTCCTACTATACCTACTAGCATGACTAAAATAAAAGACTGACCTAACCACATGTCGTCAAGGATGCAGAGAAACTGGAATTCATACATACTGCTAGTAAGAACATAAAATGGTACAACCGTCTGCAAAACTGACATTTTCTTAAAAATTTAAACATACCTACCAATGATTCAGCCATTCCATCTTTAGGTATTTACCTAGGACAGATGAAACCACACAGCCAAAAACTGAAACATTGTCCAACTGTAGATGTAAGCTGATGGACAATGAAATGTGATATATGCATACGACATACTACTACTCTGGAACAAATTATTGATATGTGTTACAGCATGGATAATTTCAAAATAATTAGGCTGAGCGAAAAAAAAGGCCAGATTAAAAAAAGTAAGGGAGAAGGGTACCTATTATAAGATTACATTTGCATAAAATTCCAGAAAATACAAATTAATCTATATTAACACAAAGCAGATCGCATTTTGCCTGGTGATGTTGGGTTTGAGGAAGGATGGCAGGGAGGGATTCCTAAGGTCATAAGGACACCGGGGTGATGGTGTCATGGGTGTATACATACGTCAAAACTTAAAATTGCATACTTTCTGTATGTGCAGTTTCTTGAATGTCAGTTATAACTCAAAATAGTACAAAACAAACAACAAAAAAAGCTGCTTTGGGGCCATGAGATCTGACATTAGGAGAAAGAGCAGAACAAGAATTTGTCACGTTTTCTTAAAACCCTTAGTCATTTTTTTAACCATGCAGAATCATCATGGTAAAAATGAAAATAAAAAATAAAACAAGAGCAAGAACATACAAGAGGATAACAAAAGAGAAAGTATTTTCTTTAAGGTCTTTAGTTGAAAAACAGGCACCTATAAAGGCACAAATTCTTTCCAGCCTTCCTGGAACTATTCATTACTAAATTCCTAACAAGGATGCAGTTTAGAATCTCATAGTAAATGAATATATTCCGTTTTAATATTCACATGACGCTATCACTGATAAACCACCAAAAGAACATGGATTGCCACTAAGCGACATTTGTAAGCAACAGCAATGGATTTATGCTGAGCAAGCCATAACCCTCTCCAACAACTTTGTTTATTTTTACAGTGGATTGCTACAGATGGGTGGTAGAAATCATTAAGTAGTTGATAACCCCTACGGGTGTCGACCATTAATTATCTACTTCCCTACCTGGGAGAAATTTAGGCAATGGGATGAATTTGGGTTCAGCCGATGAAATGAAATTGATACCAGTAAAATAATCTGTTTTACAAGAGCCCAGAGTGAGCTACCTTCCAAATGCACAGGAAAAGAAAAGAAACTTACAAGTTAGGAGAGTAATTCGGTCAGAACAGAAGCAAAGGGAAATAACCCCTGAAAGGAGAAATTCAGTGAGGAAAAAGGAGAAATGCTGGTGTTTCAAATAATCTGATTTGCATTCAGATTGTTCTTTAGACTTTTGGAAAATATGGCTCAGGTGTAATTCAGTTTAGGAAGCCAGAAGCTCTTGAACACAGATCCTCCTTCTAGAGGGCTATAAGATACTCAAAGAGGTCTGATAACTCTGATAGTGATGCTTTCATGTACTGAGAGCTTTGATTTAATAACAGTTTAACAAATGTATACATTCCAAACAATATTCAAATCATTTGGCACTGGCTGTGGTTTATAGAATGACTTCTTGGTATTAAATAACCTCAAGTTTCTGGTCTTAATTCACTGATTAGATATAATGCCCTTGTGTTTAAGCGAGGAGCTTAAGGGATGTTGCAAGATGAACTGCTTCTGTCACCTAAGTTAACCCTAAAGCATATTCCATTCCACCAGGATACGGAATCCAGCTACCACTTTAAACTCTCTTCTCTCCCTTCTCTGACAAGTTTAGTCAGGCTTCTCACATGTGGAGAGCAGCCCTGCCGAATGGAACAAGAAAAACTCACTTGGAATTAAACAACAAACCACTTCCAACACAAAAGGCGCAAATCTGCTTTTATCATCTGTATCCAGAAGAAAGTAGGTTGAGAAGCAGAGCAAGGAAGAACAGGTACATAATGCTAGGAGAAATCAGTTCGTCCTGAATATCACCAGGCACTGAATGAAGAAGTAGAACACACACACATATGTGAGCCCCGCCCCCTCCCCCCCCACCCAAATCCTACAGTGTGCATCTTAGCATCTTCATTACATCTTTGCTTGGTTCATATATTATCAGATACTTTACCAAAAGCTCAAGGAAAGGTAGAATTCCTGCCCCTGCCATTATTTAGAAATAAGACAGAAGGCATTCCGTCTTGATTTGGCTTATGTGTCAACCTGCCTGGTGTTGCTGAAGCTGGTAGTACCTTGGGGAACATAGACCAACACCCTCATTTTGCAGATGAGGAAATGACACAGGGAAGCAGCCAGGACTGGATGTTATAAGTTAAGACTTTCTCCGTAGGCTGTCTCGTAGGCCCTTGACTGTTCTTTACTCCTTTGAATTTCCTTTCGACGTCCTGATTCTTTAAGAACAGGTCACTGGAAGGCAGGTCATTTTTACACAGGAGTTTTCAACCCAGCTGCACCATGGTATCACCTGGGAGCTTTATAAATTCTGATGCTGGGGCTTCACACCTCCTGCCCCAAAGGATTCTGATGCAATCCAGCTGGGGTGTGGCCCTAGCACCAGGAGTTTCAAGAGCTCCCTTGGGCAATCCTGACGTGCAGCCACCTCTGAGAAGCTTTGCCGTGAAGCAAAGCATACTGGGAATGAAACTTGCTAATAATTAAGACGATCTTTTGCAATAGTTTTTCATCCGCCAATCTGAGCAGGTGTTTCTTGTTGAAAACTTCTACCTCTTATTAGAGTGTACCCTGCTCCTCAGGTTCTAGCCAGCTCTGGGCCCTTCCTCACCACCGTTCTGGGGCCTTGCTCAGCCTCTAAAAGCGCACCGCTGCACGCAAAATGACCACAAAAATAGAGACCTGAAAACAAGTTTCAAAACGTTAAGTAAAAGCGAGGGAAGGAAATCCCCCGATTTGGACAAGTCTTCCATAAGCAAAACAGAGGAAAGGGAGGCTATCTGGCGATAATTCCGGCCAAGAGTATTTGGGCATTTTCCCAGAATTACCCAAGTAATCCCGTGAAAAGCGAGTCTATGTAGGCTACATTATGCACAAACTGCCTAAACCGTGAGTTTTAATCAAAAGTTACCTGACTCTGGAAAGCGTTAAAGGCAAAGACACCACAAGCATCATAGATTCGACTAGCCCCTGGCCCCTTCCCTAAGCATCTCCCTCCAGGGTCTTGCAGTAAGAAACCACAACCAAGCAGACAGTGAATTCAACACTCCCCCAGGGCTCTTCTGCTCTGCCTCGGGACCTGAGACGCCCACTCAGGAGAACGCCCCATTTCCTGCACCCTTCCAGCTCAAGAAAAAAAAAAAAACCCTAGGAGCGTTCTGAGGGGGCGTGGTGAGGACGAGTCCCAGTGCGCCGTCCAGAACCACCTTTTCTCCACCGCAGAGGTTCCGGGAACCCCCCGGTCCTGTATCTGCACACCTTACAACGCCCCGCCCCCGACACTCGGACGCAGGTGGCCCCAGGACAAGGATGTCAGAACTTCCCTAGGTCCCGGAAAGGACGGAAGTGAGGAGGAGTGTCCCAACCCGCGAGCCTTCCCCTCGCCGCCGCAGCCGCCGCCAGGAAGAAAGGTCTCCGCCGAGGACAGCCCGGAAGAGGTGCGGGGTCGCGGACTCCCTGAAAGTGGGCCGCACCCGGGCTCTGGCGCCGTCTCCTCCCCGCGACTCTCCCCAGCTGGAGGCCCGTCCCTGGCGCGGGCGGGACGCCGGGACCGGCCCCAGGAGGGTAGGCTGAGGCTCAGCGCAGAATTTGACCCCGGCAGCCCTGAGCTCGCCACGCGGGGCCGCCTTAGCCCCAACCCTGTGCCACCTGTCCTCGCTAGGGTGGCAGCGCAGCCCCAGGACAGGCCCCAGGATGAAGCGCTCCCCGCTCTCGCCGACTAGAAGAGAAGTCCTAGGAGGGGGGGAGCGACGCCAGACGCGCAGACCGCCTCACCTGTCCGGCGACGTAGAGCAGGCACCAGGTGCCGCCAAAGATGCGAACCAGGAGCCTCGTGCGCCAGGGCGCAGCCAGCCTTGCCATGGTCCCCAAGCGGGGAGGGAGGGGGTTCCGGGCGAGACCCCTCCCTAGAAGCGGTAGCCGCCTCCCGCGCTGGCTGCAGGGCTCGGCCGCGGCCGCAGCAGCCGGCGGGCGGACTGAAGCGTGCGCCTGCGGGGCAGGGCTGCGCCGGGTTCTGCCGCGCGTCCTCTGAGCCGCCCTGCGGCTGCGGAGCCGGGCTGCTTTGAATGGGAGCGCGTGCGCTGGGGGTGGGGGCGTTATTTGTGAATGTGCTGCTTGTCTTGGCTCGGGATGGTTCGCGCTCCAACTCCCCCCCCCCCCCCAGCACCCCCTCCGGCTCCTGCTCCTCCCCTCCTGTGTCAGCCCAGCAAAGGCGGGGAGCGCAGACACCCAGCCGCCCCGGCAGCGACTGCGGTGCGCCTTTCGGGAAACCGGAGCAGGGCTAAGCGCTGGCTTCTATTTATTTATTCTTTTTTAAAGGGAGGGTCTCGCACTGCACACCTTGGACGCGTTTGGAATTCGACCCTGCCTGCCCTGGGAGAATTCGGGATGAGAAGGAAAGGCTCTCCCTGGACGCTGTCGCTTTCCCCGGAACGAGTCGTCAGGGCCGTTCCCTGCGCTCTTTCCCTGGGACTTGGCGCGCCGCAGCCGCTCTGGGAACCTCGCAAGGCCCTCCAGGGACCAGGGAAGAGGGGCGGTGATTAAGGAACTCTACCCCACACAGAGCGCAGATCTGAACGTAACGGTTTGTTGTCCGCGGAGACCCATCCTCTGGGTACGAAGAGATTATCCCAAGGAGTTACTGTTTTCCAACCTGAGACTGGGGAAAGAGGACTTTGCTCGAGAGCGGCGGGGATCCACGACAGCTGGGTTGGGACGCAGTCTACCAAGAGCCAGCGTTACCCATAAGGAGCCCAAGAAAATGGGTTCCGTGAATCTGACTTCACTTGTCTTCTTGTGTCAGTGGTTTTCTGAGGCAAGCCAGAGCTCTCCCTTGTCCAGTGTGGGCCGTGTTCTTATGAATTAGACTTGAGGCTGTCAGGCTTTCTCTGTAACAGAAAACAAACTTTGTGCCCCCCTTGGAGTTCTTTGCCATTGGGACCCAGGTTCATTTCTTCCTGAAAACCTGGCGCTCCAGAGCCAGTCTCCCAAAGCACATTTATGAGAAAGTAAATCCCCCCACCCTTCTCCCAACCGTCTTGCAGGCCACTCCACCCCTCTAGAACCTTGGCAGTGAAGCTAACAGAGGCGGGGAGCTGGCCCCACTTCAGTAAACTCTAGGATAAGAGGATTCAGCGCAGCGCACGTGAAACAACTTTTGTGAAGTTCCCACGTGCGCGCTTTGGGATGAACCCAGCCCAAAATGAAGACGCCGCCATACTCCCTAGCAACCATTCATTCAATGCACATATTAAAGCCAAGCGCTGTGCTTAAGCGTTGTAGCCCATCAGCGACCTACACAGATTTGGATCTTGCCCATTTTAATTGCATAAACAGACAGGATGCAAACTGCTGACCACGGGAGACATAGGGCAGAAATGCCTATAGGAAGTGAATGTTTAAATGTGCCAGCATGAGCATTTGTGTCCACAAATAGAGTGATTTTGTTCTCTTATATAGTCAAGGAGCTGCTTCTCAGAATCCATCTATTTACTCAATATGTGTGTATTTGAGTTCTCAAGGTATGAAAGAAAATCAGAGTGGAAAAAGAGGGGGAAAATCCCTCTTTGAACTTAGAATCCCAGAAAGTCAAAGCTTGGAGTTCAAAACCTTGAAATTTGTTTTAAGGGCTGTAGGCCAGGTTTTCAACTTCAATTGGTAGAGAGGAATGGATAAGATATTGAAAAACAAAACACCAAACATAAAAAGGAACAGGAACGTGTTCTGTGGAGGATTGCAAATGGCTTGTGGCTTGTCTTACCAGGGCCCTTGAGCCACAGGTTAGGCAGAAAAAGGCAAGGCTTTGCTTGGTGGGGTGGTAGTCCTAACATGGTGGGCTGTGAGAAGGTAAAACGCCAGACTGGAAGGAAAAAGGGAACCCACATTAGTGTGCCAGGCAACATTAACTGAGTTAAATCTTTTTTTTTTTAAGCCCTCAAGATAGGTGCATATGAGAATATGCATATGGAATATGAGAATCCAAAAACTCAATGGCCATATATATTGGAGCCAGACCTGGAGAGGCATACAGTAACAGAATTTTCAACATTGAAAGGGGATTATAGCCCAACTACATACTCCAAATACCAAAGAGGTTGGCCATCCAGTTCAATAGGCACGTTTTTATTTTTAAATAGGTGAAGAAATTAAGGCCCAGGAAAATGAAGGGATTTGTCCAATGTCTCACACTTAAGAGGTCTATGAATTTATTCCCAGTTCAACGTGGTAAAAAAAAAGGGGGGGGGGGAGAGAGCCTTTATTCCTTGAACAATGAGGTAACAGAAGGAAACCAAAATTTAAATTAATGGGACAGTTAAGGATAAGGTAAAAAGAGGGTAGTAAGTCCAAAAGGAGGAAGACCAACTAAAGATGCTGCCATAAACCACCAATGAGGTGATAAAGGCTTCCATTACTAGAGATGTACTCCAGCTATCAGAGAACAAAGCTGGTGCTTGGAAAGCCACACAAGAGAAGGAAAGTATCATCTATTCTATATGAGGAGACGGCACTTCCTTAGAGCACCTCCTCCATACCAGAGGCTCAACCCCAGTTCCTTGACACTGAGTCAAATGTTAAAAAATAGTCTTGTTTGGTGATTGTCCATCATTTGCTTACAAATCTATAGATTGTCAGGGCACCTGGGTGGCTCAGTTGAGCGTCCAACTTCTGTTCAGGTCACAATCTCACAGTTCATGAGTTTGAACCCTGCATCAGGCTCGCCACTGTCACCGCAGAGCCTGCTTTAGATCGTCTGTCCCCATTGCTCTCTGACCGTCCCCTGTTTGCTCTCACTCTCTCTCTCAAAAGTAAATAATAATAAAACATTTTTAAAAATCTATAGATTCTTAAATTACTTTCCAACCAATATCACTGATAGTATAAGAAATAACTGGGTGAAAGAGGAGTATTCTCATTATCCACTGAAGATCAAGTTTCCTTGATACTGCATAAAACATAGGGAGGATGCTTTAAAACAGATGTCTTCACTTAACATCTTAATGACCTCACTGTAACAAAAGGACTAAGAGCTGTCACATTCCTCAGGTCTTAGAATCCACACAGGGTATCCAGGGTATCTGAAGACCCCAGCCACTATGATGGCTCTTTGTCTCACCCTAGCCCCAGTCTTGCCAGAGCCTCTGCTCTGGGCCACAAGCCTTCTCATCTGGCACTTGCCACAAGAGATGTGTTTTGGGTTCACCGGTCAGACTTCTCAAAGAATCATTCCACTAGAACACTAGAATACGTGATTCTGAGACTGTAGTCTACCTGTTGATCTCAGGTAGACTTCTACTCCAGAAGTCTATTCCACTGACTGCTTACTATGTCCCACTTCCTTCTTCAGCCCTCTCTTTTTTTCCTGTCTCTTTTTGTCCAGCATACTTTTTTCCCCAGGACGCATCATTTCCAGAACACTTTCCAGTACCCTCCACTCCCTTGGTTTTTTCTTCACATCTCAATTCAAAACAAACTCAGTGATCTGCTTTCTCAGCACCTTGACCTACAGGGGCACATGAGAGCCACAGAATAGGAAAGATAAGTGGCACCAGGGCATCATCTGACCAACCTCAGTGGGCTCAACACGGCCCATCCATCCTCCTGGACCACCCACTCTGGCACCATCCTGCCCCTTACAATGACTGTTTCAAACTCTCTCCTGTCTCCAAACCTCCAACCAATTCCTCCTTCACCTCTCTCCCTTTCAACAGATATGCAGAGCTCCAGCTTCTCAGAGAGGAGACAATCAGATGGGAACAACTTCTAATTTTACTCTTTTCCACCAAATTTACTTATATCCATAACTATCTTCTTCACCTCTGTTTTCTTTCTAAGGCCAATCCCTCTACAATGCTCTGGGTCTACTCTCCCCTTACCTTCAACTAGTACAGAAACAGTACAGATTTTCCCTAATTTTCTGTGGTATATTCAACAATGTACTGAAAATTGCATCCTATCTTTAAATAGGATATTTGTCACGTATAACAAAAAATATATTCACTCTCCAACCACCCCACATATTTTCTCCATGATGATACCTATTAAAGGTTTCGTGTATACCGTGTATTGCCTTCTTTCCTTTCTATTTAATCCCCAAACCATTCCAGTCAAAATTCGGCCACCATCTCTATACAGATATAGAAACTGCTCCAGTCACCACTTACTCCCATGAGGTCATATCCAAAGAACATTGGTTGGTCCTCTTCCCACTTGTCCTCACAAAACCATGAGTCATGGTCAATCATTCTTTCCTTCTTGGCTGTTCCTCAGATATTGGCATACTACTCCTAAGAACATATATTTCGTAGGGGCTATCCCTTCCCCTCCCCGACCCTGTATCTAGTTACCTTAATACTAAACCCCTCCCACATATGGGTTGGATTACTTATTTATATGTACTCATATATCTATATTCCTTTCCCTTAGAGAGTTTACTCTAATTTGTAATTATACTTTTAGTAGTGTGATTAATTGACCACAATGTGTCTTTCCCTTCCCACTAGGTTGTAAATTCTATAGGCGCAGTTTACCATGCCATTACAGTGCCTCCCAGTCCAAATCCCTAGAATGTCATATTTGACACAAATCAAAATTAAATTAATAAATGGATGAATTCATATTTCACATCTTTCAGTGACCTGACCTGAAATGTAATCATGAAGTAAGACACAAACTGCAAGTTTCTTGAGAAGAGACATTATATGCTCTTGACCTTTATCCTAGTACCTACAAAAGTCCTAGGAACATAATAGGTAAGAAAGAGAGAGACAGACAGAGAGAGACAGAGACAAAGACAGGAAGACAGAAAGAAAGACAGAAAGAAAAAAGCCTGGCTGACTAAGAGAATGGACAGAATCCACTAACAGAATGAGAAACTGCCGAATCAGGTAAATTTCTAGGCAAACTCCAAATAAAAATCCACAGGCCATACATTCTTAAATAGATCAAACTTTCAAACTACACTTTATTCTTCCAAAAAATATAAATAAAGTTTGGTACAGAGCCAATTATGTTTCTGATCATCACCTTGAAGTTTTCCCCAATAAGGAGAAAAGAAAAAGTAAATAATTTAAATAGTAGATATAGAATATCCACCAGAACACAAATTACATTTTTTACTAAATACTTAGAAGCAGGAGGAAGGGGGAGGTGCACATTCTATTACCCAGAGTTAAGATTTATCTAAATTATTTCTAGTTAATATATCGCATACATTATAAAATATTCAGCAAGAAAGGAATTTTCTAATAACTGGCTCAAATCCTGCTTCATTCCCCTCTTGTTCTTTAACTAGCTGGAAATGCCCTTCTTGTCAGTCTTTATTTGCCTCGGTAGACAAGCAAAACACAGAGCAAAGCTGTTCAGTCAAGCAAAGTGTTCATTTTTGACAAGTTGAATGTCACACACTTTGTTCAAAGAAAATATACATACCTGAATTATACAGTTAAAAGTCTCCTCACTTGAGTGAAAGCTGTTTCAACAATATTCCAGTCCATAGAGACATGTGGCTTCAACTATTACAAACTGTTAAATTATGTGCATAATAAAAAAATGATAGAAAACATAAAGTAGTATGTTTATCTCTCACAGAAATGACTCAAAACCATATTTCAAGAAAGTAAACACTGGAAACCAGCAGTTTTACGTATTCTCTGCCCTAACTTAATCTCTATTCTAATTTTGTCTTTTACGTGAACATACAGTTTTTTCTTCCTTTTTAGCTACTGTATTTGTGGATTTTTAAATTAAAAGCATAAAGATTAGTTGAAGCCAGATAAACATGGTTATGTGAATTAACATCCAGATCAAAATATTTTAAATTACCTCTGCTGCCTTCGAAGGGGAAAACACAGCATCCCATGAGGGTTATAACTTATCAGCCGACTTATCTTTCTGTTCTGTAACACTAAGTTACTGAGGAGTGTTTGAGGTTGCAGGGACTTCCTGGCATCTGTCTAAACTGCATTCATGATAGTGTGTTAGTAATGCGCATACTTAATCTCTTGATGTTGGCTTGCGGGAGTCTCAAATATAAAATGTGACAGCATTTGTTTTTCTTACCACATAAAAAAATGACATCACAATCTGTTAAGAGGTTAAACCATATATTATGGCTTCATTTCAGAGTCACTGTTTGCGTCATATGACTGCCCAACAGGGGCCGAATCTAACACACTTAACATTCCTAAGGCTAGTAACATATAGCCTCTGGGTGAGGCCCATTGGGTGTGGTTTTATCGCGCAGAAAATCTTATATAATAACAGCCTTTTCAAAAAATGGTCATTCTTTCTCCATGTGTTGAAGAATTTGTCCAAATAATACAGCAAAGGACAACCGAGGTTATAGAGGAATCAAAAAATTACATTTGGAAGCTGACATTTATTCTGTTCATCTTCTCTGGAGACCTCAGAAACTGTTTACCTGAACTTGGCAACAATTTTCCATAATTCACTCGATCCGTCAACAGTAATATTCAGTTTCCATTTTTGGCTAGCCATTATGACAATATGTAAAAGTAGTAAGAGATATAATCCCTGTGCTTTCAGAAGTCACAATTAAGTTTCACACAATACATTTATAAAAGAAATGTGTATCCCCCAAATATTTGTTCTTCATTATTTCAGAGGCCCGTCGAAAGCATGGTATTCTGTTGCAGCCATTTTTGTATCCTCAGCAACTACCACACAGCACAGCCTCAAAAGTTTGCTAAACTGCATTGAACGCTTATTCTAATGCAAACCACATCAATGAGAACCGTGAGGAACAAACAGGAATTCTGTATTTTGCCCTAGCTTCATAAAGCCCCCGTCAGATTGTGTCAGTGATCAGAAACCTATTTCTCTCAAATGCCGATATGGCAAGCTCCAAAGTATAAACTATTAGACAGAAAGTACTAGTGGATCAGTTGATAGTTCTCAGTCAGCGAATTCAACATTGTATTAGAAAGGTTTGTTCTCGTATGAAAGAATACCATTTTAGGGGACCCTGGGTGGCTTAGTCAGTTAAGTGTCTGACTTGAGCTCAGGTCATGATTTCCAGTTCGTGAGTTTGAGCCCCGAATCGGGCTCTCTGCTGCCAGCACAGACCTCACTTCAGATCCTCGGTCTCCCTCTCTCTCTGCCCCTCCTCCCCTGCTCTCTCTCTCTCTTTCTCTCAAAAATAAATAAGCATTAAAAAAAAAAAAAAGAACAAGAGCACCATTTTAAAATCTGAGTATTTTGTATGCTTTGGAATGTCTTGCTTCATTACAACATCACCCAGCACCATAGCTGTTCATGTTCTTTCTGCCC